CACGCCCCCGCGGCGCGGAGACCCGAGCAGCCGGCTACTCCCAGTCTGGAACCGGGAAGCCGCGCTCGGCGGCGGGTGCCGGGCGGCGATGAGGATCTGGAGCTCGGAGCACGTGTTCGGGTGAGGTCGGGCTGCGGGCCGCCTTGGGCTCCGGGCCGGCGCCGGCACTGCCCCCGCGCCGCTGGGGGAGGCCGAGAAAGGCCGGACCCCAGACCCGGCCCTCGCAGAGCCTTCCCTGCCTGGCGTGGACCGTTCCCAGACCGCGGCCTCGGCACCCTGAAAAGAGGCGCAGGCTCTCGGTCCCTTCTGGGGGCGTCGCCAGCTGCTGGATGGAGTCCCCGCCCGGCCGGTGGAGGCCGTGGTGGGATTCCTGACGCGCCGGGGAGGGGGCGGCCTTTCCTTCCGCGGCCCGAGGAGGACGGAGCCGCGGGTGCATCTCAGCTAGTCCTGCAGGGCCCGGAGCGCCCTCCTCGGCGCGCGCCCCTAGCGGGGCGGACGCGGCTGGAGGCGACCCGTCAAGGTGACAGCGCGCCCTCAGCGCCCCCAGGCTGACCTCGCCCACACCCAGTTCTCCTTCGGGCGAGGGGCGTGCGGACCTAGGGAGAGCATATGCGGTGCAGCAGATCACGAACATGAAGCATGTTTTATAAATGAAGGGTCCACGGCGGCCCAGGCGCTCGGGAGGAGCTGATGCGGGGAAAGCAGTGGGGGCTGGGGCACGGGGTGCACTTGTGGGCATGGAAGGCCTCCAGGCTAACAGGCGAAGCTGGGAGCTATTTAAAAGTGCCTTCGTGACCTAGGTGCTATCTTCGTCTGACTCTAAGTCATTTATCTGTGACCCACTGAAATCATTCTTTAATATTTTTTAAAAGAATAAAGATTTTTAAATATCTCCCACTCCACTTAGAAAAACATTTTTTTGGGGGGAAAAATAGTCAACTATAATTTTTTTTTAAATTTTTAAATTTTTTAAAGACTTCATGAAATGGAATTGTCATCCTTTGGCCTTTTAAATGTAAAATTATAATTAAAAAATTATCAGGAGGTTAGAACCTCTAAAGTTATTTTTAATGAAATCCTTAGACTTGATGGGATCCAATTTTCCTGTTGATTTTTTATTCTCAGTTCTCCCAAGGGTGGGACATAACTGGCACCGTCGATGCAGAGGGCAGAGGTGAAGTCATTGCACACGGTAGAGGCCAGGGCAGTGGGGCTGTGTTGTCATGGAATAGTTGACAGGGACTGCCCTACAACTTCGTGAAGTGTTGATTGACAAGCAGAAGTGAATTGTCAACTGTGAAAAGTCACTATTGGTAAAATTCACTGTTTTGAAGTGTACAATTCAATAATTTTTAGTAAATTTAGAGTTGTACAACCGCCACCACAGACCAGTTTTAGAACATTTCCGTCACCCTACGAAGTCCCCTCGTGCCCATTTGCAGTCACTCTTCACTACCATTGCCAGCCCCAGGCAGCTGCTGGTCTGCTTTGTTTCTATAGATTTGCCTTTTCTGGACATTTCATATAAATGTAATCATACAGCATGTGGTCCCTTGTGTCTGTCTTCTTTCACTTAGCATAATTTTATTGAGGTTCGTTTGTGTGGTATCCTGTATCAGTACTTCATTGGTTTGTATTCCTGGCACCCTGCCCGTGCCTGGCACACAGTAGGTGCTCAGTGAGGGGCTGCGATCTGGCTGAGATTAGATGCCATTCCAAAATGAGGGTGGCTGCCCGCCAAAGAACTTTGTCAACACCAAGCCGCTGTGGACTTGGCACTGATCCCCTGCCATTGATTTTTGAGGTTAAAAGCAAAGGGCCATAATGAAATTGACAAACGTGGAGTGCAGCTGACCAAGGACAATGTGGGGTAGGCCCCTGTGGCTGCCGGTTGCAAATGACATAGTCATGTGCGGTGGCACAGCACAAAATGGGAAGCCCAGCTTTCTTGCTTAGTCCGTCAAAAATCACCAATTTATTTTTTTCTTTGAGGGTTATAGATTTCTTTTTATACTTATTTCTTTTATATATTTGTTGTAGTCAGATAAATATTTGATCGAAAATTAGTACATTTGCTCTGGAAAGGCAAGAAATAAGTAGGCACAAATCCTTTTGATCATATCAAGATGCCTTTCTCTGTCCACATGGCGTAGAAACCCCAGGGACTGGAGCTCAGGCACAGCAGAGAGCAACATAAACATGCCTGCAGGAATGGAGGCCCCTTGGAGAAAGCCATCTGAATGTAGTGTGTGTTACCTAGACAGGGTTTAAGATTGTCTAAATAGCAATGGAAAATATAGGACTGAAATATAAAAATACAGAAAGGGGCATTTAAAAGTTAATAGGCTTATAAATTTCATCCTCACAGCATTGACTTGGGTTTCAGGTAGACCTATACAATCTTCAGGAACAGAGCCAACACAAGTAGATTTCTGGCAGAGATTCAAGGCCATATACTCTGAATTCTAACAACTACCAGGAAAGGTCTCTAGTAGGTAATGTTCATCTCAGGGAATTAAGGGCTCTGGAGGACATGATGTCCTAAAGCAAACTTGCTTTCTAGCCAGGAGCAGTAAAAGAATACCCCTCCCCCACCTTTTTTTTTCTTTAATAAGAAATTGAACATTACAGTTAAGAGTTGAAGCACACACCCCCAGTGTGGTACCCCCTCCCCCTCTCTCCACAGGCAGACAAAATTATGAATTTGGTGGGTATCCCTCTGAAGGTATATATATATATATATATATATATATATATATATATATATTCCATTTCACTACATCTGTGGGGGCATGTGTTTATTGTTTTAAAATAGAAATCAGTGACGTCAGATGTACAGATCTTTTAATAATTTCCTTTCCTCTCAACAGTATGGTTTTGAGATCTGTGTGTGTTGTGTATACACACACGTATATGTATCATAGCTATATAATGTTCCATTGTATGGATGTGTTGCAATTTATTCTTTCTCTTATTGAAAGAACATCATCTCCCCCCTTACTACACATCATACTGTAGTGACCAGCTGTGTATATATTTTTG